TACTGCGAATCGAACTTAGATCAACATGTTTTGTTGTAAGGGATTTGGTCACTACGAAACTTGGAATTTACCGAGATTATGTGATTTTTCCATTTACCGAGATTATGTGATTTTTCCATTTACCGATTCAAGAAATTTGATCCCCACCCACACGTAATGCCCCCGAACGCACGCACGTCGGAATTGATTAATTAAGAATAATGCTAGGCTGTATATCTTTATCATTACCACTTACAAACTAGAAAGCACGTCAAATCGAATACTCAGAAAATGTAATGTGAAGCTACACTGGACACAGCCGAACAAAAGAGATTCCAGCAGGTTGCTGATCGGAATTGAAACCGAGTTTTTTTTTTTTTGGCAACGGAATATTCAAATACGTACTATACTAATCTCTGGTTGCTGCATGCTGGACAGCCGGGCCGCCGGTCAAAAACTTTAATTTGAATGCCGGCTGGCTGGTAAATATAGTTTCCAGGTTCCGAATTCGCACCTTAGTGCATAGCAACTACTAGCTACGTACGTACGACGTAATACTAGTCTTAATTTAGGAGCTCCAAGATTAGCAATTATGAGAAAGAGCTGGCCAAACTGATCAGGAAGGTACATACTGCTTTTCTATTGTTACAAACAATTTTTTATTTTTGCATATCATTTGTTGGGAACTTGGAATGAAAATAAAATATAATGGTTAAAAAAAATAATATAAATCAGCGAGCTTAACTTTTATGCGTCAAGTTGGGCATGATCCGAAAAACAACTGATTTCGACATTAAAAAAATCGAATTCCTTCCAAACAACTAAAAATTATATAATAAATGTGACTTTTTTTTTTTTACCAAGAAAATATGTTTTACTAACTTTTAATTAATTTGAAAAAGATGATGAAATCAATCTCCTTTTTGTTTTTCTTTTTTTTTTTCGCCTACTTTAACTTTACATTATGAGAATAGATAACCATCAAAACAGAAAAGTAAAAAAAGCAAATTTACCATCTCACTTTTTGAAAAATATATTTCCCTTTTTAATTTGTGGGGGCACATATGCATTTCCTCTTTAAAACTGAAATGGGTATATATACCTCAGTAAAGATTCTCATTCATCATTTCTCTAGTTTTCCACTGAAGCTGGCACCTCAATAAAGTGAGAAACATACGAAAAGTAGCCAATAAACTTAGATTTGTATGAAGAATGACAGCTATCATTGCCAACATATATGTAGCCCGGGGGTAAGATTATTGGTGAACTCAGGAAATTCTTTGGTCGGACAGAACTCAGGAAATTCAATTTGACACGTTTTGACGGCTCAATTCCTCTTCACGTGCGTAAATGTTCATAATGTTATTGTTACGGGGTTAATTTTATCCCTGATCTTATTTATTAGATGCAAATCTGAATTAAATAAGATTCCAAGTAACAGTACAAAATTCACGGTCTCAGCTCTCATTCCATATCCTTGTAACATTGTGAAATTGATGAGGAGAAACCTCAACCTGATCAGTTTAAATAATTTGGTACCAGTTTCACTTGGTAAATATTACGTATGTATTCCCTCTGTTTCAGAAAAATATTCCACATCAAGTTTTGAGATTTATACTAATTTTAATGCAAAGTTGAAAACTTAATTGGAACTATTTTTTTTTTTTGGAACAGAGTGAGTAATTATTTTTTTTGATAAAAAAACAAAATCAAAGTAAAAATAAAATTACCTAGGACTCTTTTTAATCATGACTGATTACGAAAGTGGTTTTGTATCATTCGTTTTGACCATTTGGTTGGTTCGTTAAAATAAATGACCGAGTTCTAATTAGGATAAGAAGATATTAATTAGTTTATTGAGTATGTATATATGGCCTAAAGAACGGTCGTGAAAGTGAATAGTAGCAAACTATGTGCAACAAATATTTTGACCACAAAGATCAGTGTCAAAAATATCAAGAGGCATGAGCCATGCACTTTCCAGTTTCAAAATAGTAACATCAGCGAACTAATCTACTCCATTTTTTTTTTTGTTTCTTTTTTTACGCAAATCAAGAGGCATATTAAGTGAGAATATATGACAATAAGTCTGATTCTTCAATTTATTTGAAACGAAAGTTTGACATCAAATTAATGTCACTTTTTTCAACGAAAAAGAGCAGGAGTAACTCAGAGAGATGAATCCCAACTCACTGAGATCGTTTTTTAGTGTGTGTTTTTAAGTATTTTTTTCTATTAAGAATGTAAAAAATTATATTGAAAATGTAAAAAAAATATGCTGAAATGAGACAATTATTATTATATTATTTTGGAAAAATCTTGTAAAAAATGAACCAAATAGAGCGTGAGAGACCAAGGAGAACGAGATAAGCTCACATCATTATATGTGTTGCAGATATTTGATCGAGTAATTACTTCTTTTCAAATTTATTTCCAGTTTTAGTCATTAGCTTCCGATTTTTATTTTTTATATGTTTCAAAATAATATTTAAAATAAAAATTCAAATTGAATAATTATTTTGGACACAAACGAAATAAAGAATATACAAGAGTATCATGAACTTATTGACAGAAGAGATTATACATACTGGGGTGGTGGGGGTGGTAAGCAGCTATCTAGTTGACCAAATATAATAAAAGTAAACTTGGTAGAAAACCCTCCAATTTCGTTGGTTGACCACTGTAAGAAAGTCTTTAGAGTCTTTTTTTTTTTCAAACAAAAAATATGGATGTCAGCATGAATGCGGCAAAAAGGGTAAAATACGTGAAAAAGTAACATGTGAACCAAATGATAACTATTGGCAAATACCCACCATTCAATTAAAGTTCTGTAAATTGCCTAACAGCTATTCTGGCCAGTCAGCATTTCTAAACTCCCAATTACGATTTGGTTTCTTTCTTGGGTGGCCATGGAAAATTTCCAAGCTCAGGAATTGGTTTGGTTTTATCAAACACTTAAAATTAGCCGATTTTGAATGCTAGGACAAATCTCTGATGTTCGGTTAGGACCAGACCAACAAAAAGGTGGATGAACTTCTAGTGAATATATGCACGAGTCGAATATATAAGTGCGCATATATATTTTTCGGCTTTGATGTAGATATTGGATCGTTCAAACAAAGTTGCTTTTGGTTTATTTACCAACTGGGAATTCAAGACTAGTTTAATGAATAATTTTCCATCTAGTGCTTCTTGCATATGGGTTTCTTGATGTTGAATGTTCACTAAAAGTAATCTATATACTTTTTGTGCTCATTTTTTATTTTTTTTAATACTGTTGAATTATAACAATTATATAAAACAAACTCATTTCGTCCCCAAGTAGTTATCCAACTTAAATTTTTATTTTTAATTTTATCACGATAGGGGAGTATTACATATTATTGATAACAAATGAATGATATATTGAACAAAGAAAATTTATGGTGAAATGAGATAGTAACTAATATGACGATAAAACTTAAAATTTAACTACAAAATGTCTTCACCCACTACTTTCACATTTCTGTGTGTATATTTGGTGACTCCATCGCTAGCTATTCTCTAACTTTCCTTTTTAATTTTTAAAGAAAAACTCAGGAAATGAACAATAATTTTGAGTTTAACATACAACCTTTTGCCTATTGTGATAATTTCTAGTGACATGAAATAATGACTAATGAAAATAAAAATTATTTAATTAATTAGAGACGATTATGTATATATACGATCATTTTTAATTTCATTTCACCTTACACACACATAAATATACATATACGTATATTTATATTCATATTTTTTTTTCCTAAACTTGTACTTAGCTTGCCTGGATTTGTCAATGCTAATCCTATCAAAAACTGCCAAATTTTGAGAGAAATGAAAGTCAATCCCAAAGATTGTTTTTAATAAAATTGGCTTCTACGCATCTTGACGTTAAATTACCAACTACCAGGAAATGTCGATAGCCATATTAGTCATTAGGATCGCCAATTCCATGCATACATCACCTATAAACATTCCAGTCATATCTTAATGAGTTATAATCCTCTCGAATCTTGATCACTTCATGCAGTAAAACCAAAAAGACAATATGAGCTAATTAAAAGACAAAATCACTGACCATTTTCCTTGAGTAATAAATATAATACTAATAATCATAGCTAAATTGTAACTCTTCAAGGAAAGCATATCATTTTCATGGACCATTTCAGTTTTTAGAGCCATTGGGTATTACTAATATTTAACTTTCTTAATTGCTATACTTTCTTTTTGGTAGTTTACTAATTCAATTTGATTGAATCAAAACCCCTAGCTAGCAAACTATATATGCCCCATAGTTAGCTTCTCATATTACATATGCAACCGTGTTTTGATGATGTAAACAAAATTAATTATTCTCCACAATCAGTAAATTATTAATTTGAACCAAAACTGAAAAGGATAAATGGAAAATTACGTTAAAAGTCAAACCAATTAAGCAACTAAATAATTCATAATTATCAAGAAACAGTGTTTCTCAATCACCTTATCAATGTCCCAGTTGAAATGTTCAGCTTAATTTGTATGCATCAATTTGTTAATTCTAAGTGGAAATTGAACATTTCATTGTATTAAGTCACACTATACTACACAAAATAAAAATTGAAAGTGACGAAATTAAGACAGAGACGCGTAGCGTGTTCACTTCAGCTTTGCTGATCATTCTCAATAATAATAATAATAATAACTCAAGTAGCTAGCCTTCAGTCAACTCTATTCTTTTTCAATACTCAGGAAGCTAGTTATATGTATCACTACTTTTTCCTTCGTGGCTAGTTAATTAGATTTAGTCCACTCGGAGGCAAAACTTGAAATTTCAACACATCAAAAATTTTACAGAGTTAACTGTTTAATCAATAGATCCCATTTATTCTAATCTATATTAATTAATCAAAAGGTATTTTGAGAAAAAAAAAAAGAAGAAGGTGCATAACCACCTTCTTCCCTAACCCGAAGTCCATTGTTTGTGCTAGACCACCTTATTCTTTTTTACTTCTTTTTTTTTTTTTTTCAACATCTATAAATAGTCTGCCAAACTCCCCCATATCATGCACTCCACCCAAAAACTCCAAGAAACCTTACAATTAATTCATCTTCAAGCTAGTGAATCATGGCATTTCCTTGGTCAATTTCATTTCTAGTACTCTTCATGCTACTTTTTGTTTGTCCAACCATTTCATCAAAACCATTTCCTAGTAAAAATTTCTTCAACCCATCGGCCGTGAAATCATGGTGTTCCCAAACTCCAAACCCGCAACCCTGCGAGTATTTCCTAACCCACAACCCGAAATACTTGGGCCAAACCATCAAAGGCAAGACCGATTTCCTCCAGATGTCACTCAACTTAGCCCTCGACCGGGCGCGCGTGGCGCACACGAACACGTACTCCCTCGGCACCAAGTGCCGGAACAAGCAGGAAAAGGCTGCATGGGTGGATTGTCTGGAGCTGTACGAATACGCCATTGAGAAACTCAACGAGACGGCGGATCCTAACGTCAAGTGCACCGCGGCCGACAAGCAGACGTATCTGAGCACGGCGTTAACTTACATGGAGACGTGCAGACAAGGGTTCGAGGAACTCGGGGTGGTGGATTATGTGATGCCTATGATGAACAACAACGTTAGTAGCTTGATTAGTAACACTTTGGCTATTAACAAGGTGGCTTACACCGAGCCGGAATACAAGGACGGTTTCCCTACTTGGTTGAAACCCGGTGACCGGAAACTACTTCAGGCTCCGGCTCCCCGGGCCAATATCGTGGTGGCTCAAGATGGTTCTGGAAACTTCCGAACCATTGCTCAAGCTGTGGCAGCTGCTTCCAAGAGGACCGGGACCGGGAGATTCGTGATTTACATTAAGGCGGGAACGTATAAGGAGAATGTTGAATTTGGAAAAGGTTTGAAAAATATTATGATTGTTGGAGATGGTAAGGGAAGAACTATCATTACCGGAAGCAGAAGTGTTGGCGGCGGTAGCACAACTTTCCGATCAGCCACAGTTGGTAAGTTCTCGTCCCCTTTAATTTTAGTGTACCTAAATATATACATATTTAATATTTTATTATCCGTATAAAAACTACGTGCATATATATATTTATCATAATACAATACGATAACACTATTCTTTGTGTCAGCATAAACAATTAATTATTTTGAAATGGTATGGCACACTGAAAAATGAGATTATGATTTTCTATTTCTAGATAGGATTTTAGTTGACCGTATCATTTTATCGCAATACTAATTCAATTTTGTACGAAATATTTGCAGCTGCGGTTGGTACCGGATTCATTGCACGTGGGATCACATTCAGAAACACAGCCGGTCCACAAAACCACCAAGCCGTAGCTTTCCGGTCCGGTTCAGATTTCTCGGTATTTTACCAGTGCAGTTTCGAAGGTTACCAAGACACACTTTACGTCCACTCGATGAGACAGTTTTACCGCGAGTGCGACATTTACGGCACGGTAGATTTCATCTTCGGAAACGCAGCAGTCGTTTTCCAAAACTGTAACATTTTTGCAAGAAACCCACCAAACCGGACCAACACACTTACCGCCCAAGGTCGAACCGACCAGAACCAGAACACCGGAATTTCGATCCACAACTGTAGAGTAACCGCAGCTCCCGACTTGCGCCCGAATCAGGGTTCAGTGAGAACATACCTTGGGAGGCCATGGAAGCAATATTCTCGTACGGTTTTCATGAAGACTTTTCTTGACGGGTTGATTGACCCGGCCGGTTGGATGCCTTGGAGCGGAAACTTCGCTCTAAACACATTGTATTACGGTGAATATGCAAACACTGGACCCGGTTCATCAACTGCTAGAAGAGTCAACTGGAAGGGATACCATGTTATCACAAATCCAGCTGAGGCTTCAAGGTTCACCGTCGGGAACTTCATTGCCGGAAATTCTTGGTTGCCAGGCACCGGCGTTCCATTCTTTGCCGGTCTCTAATAAAATTCACTTGAATTGATTAATTCATTTCTTCGGAACAAAAGTCGTTCTTGAAATAATCTCCTTCATTTAATTCCCCGGGGAACCAAAAATTAATTAAGGTACCATGGAATTATTATGTTGGATTGATTTTAGTTCAACCAATTGTACTTTCATTTTTATTGTTTCGTTTTTTTGTTTTTGCACGTACATGATGTACATTTGTAACGTTATCATTACCTCAAAGAGTTCATGTTATTAGTTTCATAAATTGAATTGTTTATTCCCCCTTCAATTGCTTGTAGATTGGGCATCTGTCATTCTTCATGGATTAATTTTTTTTCCTTTTGATTTAGTATAGTTTATATTATCGTATATACATATACATTTATATTTATGTATGTGTTGAGAAAGTCAATTTTATAAACGTCAATTCGATGAGAGGCTATGAAATGTCAAGTTGATATACGGTAAAGAAGCATTTTGGTTGATGACTTCAAACATACTATCGCAATCCTATATTGACCATCACTTATCAGAATGACATGTAATATTTGCTGAGACTGCAACGTCAATCGAAGACTTTTTTATTTTCCATTTTTTCAGAGGTAATTAACTACTTTCAGTTCCAAATTTTGCATATAGAAAATTGATGTCTAGAGGAAGAGGTAACAATGTAAAGCCAACTAGTACTATAAAAACTTTTTCTAATGAATTTGGGAGAGAATCAGTAAACGAACGTAAATTTATTCATCCATAGCACTAATTAATGACAGCGATGACAGTTTTGGTTTTGGTTCGATACGTACAAAAGTACACTGTCACGTCAAATAATAAGGCTTCACTAATGTCAAATTCATATGACCGAAAGGGGAGCCAAAAACAGGGACGGAGGCCTAATCAGTTGTTATATATGCCTTAACTATCTGCAAACACTCTATTAAATCAATTTGGTTGTGTACATGTCCTAATGTTTTCTCTAAGATTTAGGAGCATCATGACTTACTGTGAGGTGGCGTGGCATCCCTCTAGAAAAAGTTGCCAAGTGTATAATTACTTACATGTTTAATCCTAGTGTCTAGTAATTACTCCTTCCGTCCCAAAATTATTATCCAGTTTAAATTTTTCACTTTTAGGACTGTTTGAACTAATAATAAAAATCTAAACTGAATAATAATTTCAAGACGGATGGAGTAATTTATTTACGTAGTTTCATTATTCATTATTCGCTGCAATTTTTCACCTCTAATTATTAATTAGGAACCGATGGTGAGAAATAAGCCAGACTGTCAGACTATACCTATCTAGCTGAATGTAGCTAGTGTAAGAAAGCCCAGAAAATGATGTTTCACAAATTTTATCTCGGTGTATGAATTCAAATGAATTGACAAAGCATTTCATGTTTTACAAATTGCATAAGGTTGAAGTGGCCAACAAATCAACAATGATTGGGGTTATTAATTAGGCGAAGAAATTATTCGTTCTTTAAACAAATATTGGGTTTGAATCTTATGTATTCATTATAAAAAGATTGCCTTTAGAAATAGGTTCGAATACTTACTTAAAACCAATAAAAATTAGTCTAACTAAATATGAATTGTGTCTACTAAGTAAAATCTCACAGTTATCGTAGAAATATGACATTGCCTTTTTTATTTTTTATTTATTTTTTTTCTCTTTCTGAGGTGAGACATTTTTGTTTTTGATAATAGAGGTGAGACATTGCTTCTTCTTCTCCCTCTTCTTTTTTTTTTTTTTTTTGGAGGTGATACATTGCCCATTGACGTTCACTTAAAAAATAAATGGTTATGTTTTAGCTTCGGACAGCGAGTATGTTTTTTCTGAAAGTATTAAATATAATTTTAAAATAAATAGTTAATCGAATGTTGTTTGAGGTCTCAAGATAGAGGTTAATGAAGCCCTACCCTTTACGTTTCTAACTGCTCTGGCTTTGACTTTGATCAATAGAACTATTGACATTAATTCTTGATATAATATATTTATGTAGAGAGACCGCTGATTTAATGTAGTAATGCTCATCATAATCCAAAAGAATCACGTACGCTTACTCTTTTTCTTTTCAATTTTGGTGGCGTGGAGAATGAAGTTTGGTGTGTAAGTTTCAAATTATCCGCTTAAACCAAAAACATATTCCAAGCAATACATTATCTGATGTCTTCCATGACGCAAACATAACTGCAAATTATTGAAAGCAACAATTGTGTGTGGTGCAAGGCATGAAAAAAAAAACCATTTCTCTTTCAATATTTTCTAGAATCACCTTTAGAAGTTCAAAACATGCAAGTCTTTTGGGCAAATTTTATTTTCAAGGACTATATACTTATGTGGTTTTCCCCTTTTGTTGACTTCTTTCCTGTCAAATTCGACCGTTTCTAGCTCTTCTCAAAAAATTATATATATATATATATATTTTTTGCATAAAGGAATAAGATACATATTTCATCTTATCGTTCATCTCGAGTATTGTAGTATAATAAAATTGGGGCAAAAAGGACGGTGATAGTTGTTATGTAAGAGTATTTGATTTTATGAATGAAATTGGTCATTGACGTACCAGAACTATTCAAAAAGGCAGTAATGCAGCATTCAAAGTCTTGTTTTAATACCGTGATGAAATTAACGTTTGAAAAACCGCTTGTAAACAAATGAAAACCTCTGATTATGACATTTATTTAGATCAAAGTAAGTTACACCAAAAATAGTGAAAACCTCTGATTTGTTTTTTTTTCTTTTTTTCGATCAAGATTCAAGACGTTTGGGTTAATGCAACACTAAAAATATGATCGAGTAGGGCCAGTAGGCGGAGTAGCTAGGGCCAAATATGAAATCTCATCATGTAGGAAGCTGGGCTATAGGCCCTTTGGATATGAATTACGAAATGGTTCCAGCACAATGTTGTTTATCTTGGGGCGGATCTTAAACTTGATTTACAAGCATAAACTTATTTTTAAAGATACTACAAAAAGTATGGATTTATAAGGCCGATTCACATACCACCGTATATTATTGGGTTTGACCCAATTGGTGCAGTTCAAGAATCACTAACACAATCTTGTTGAATCTGGATACTCAGAAATGGGGCATTGACCCAATTATGCTGAGTCCAAGTTGCCAATCATACATCCCCTCATCGGTCTATTAAACTCGTTCTATTAGTAAATCTAAGCATATTTAATTTGGGTACATTCTCATACAATCACAATCCTTCATATTTCATTCCATGAAACTAAACTATAATAAATAGGAAAGGGTTCAACTGAATTCCCTCCGAAAAAAAATATGTATACTCTCCCCATTCCAAAATTATCGTCCATTTTAAATTTTTATCAAATCGTACTAAAATGATAATTCAAATAGAACAATGTATAATTTTTGGATAAAGAGAATATGTTATTGCTATTGGTTGGTACATACTTGATTTCTACCTGCAGAAAGGAATATCTTCAATACATTGACTATTACACTTTTACAACAAAATGATTAATTAGTTGGCTGATGGAGCGCAGAGAAGTGATGCATAGAAGACTTGTTAGTACATGTGTTCGGAAAACACAAGGTTATAGTATTAATTAGTCCTCAACGGGGCCGGTTAGAGCGTCAATTGATGGGATTTTCCAGTAGCAGTGCAATCTACTGGGAATATTTGGAAAACTTTTGAGCAACTATCAACCTCTCATTCATGAATACAACTCTTTAACTACGCTCTCTTGATCGATATTTTCTTTAGTATTTATCACTACTAAATTATACTACGATTTAAAGATTAATTAATGTTAGATTAGTAATCTAGGATTTAAGAATATTACGTTACCTTGATCTATAAAACTATTTAGTGCAAACTTATTATTGTGCTATCGAAAATTATGTTGCCCGAACCGCTTGGTTTTGGCTAACTCTGCAATTTGACCTGAACTACCACCACCAGCTTGTCAATTGATACTTGATAGTTCTACTTCAACATACATAATAAGGCCTAAACAATTATCGCACACCAGCCGTGCTCGTATTTTTTACTTAATTGTATTTATAGACCCTTAAGAGAATAATGTTGTTAGTGACAGGCAACTTATGCACAAATTGACATGTCAGCTGCAGTTAGCTACTTAGCAGGAAGATGTGGCGTTTTAAAAAATAAATAAAAACTGTTCTTGTTTCCATCTACCTTGGCATGGGAACTTTTTTGCAGCCTAATCATTACCAGTATAAATTATTTGAGATTTATTCTACATTGGATTAAATTATTTATTGCTACCTTACAAACTTCCCACCAGAAGTACTACGAACAACATTGTATTTGACTTTGAAATCAATAAATAAATTCTTCACGAGATTCAGAGGGCATTTGTTTCCTACTTTCCTTCCAACTTCCGTTGGGGTAATATATATTTCCTGTCATATAATTATTATTTTTTTATTAAAAAAAAAGCTAAAACAAGAGAGAGAGAGAGAGAGAGAGAGAGAGAGAGAGAGAGAGAGAGATCTTTCTAACCTTTCCATTCTGAATGCAATTTCTTTTTTTTTTTTGTTTGTCAGGGTTATTATTATAACATAAAGAATGTAAATGAGATTTTTTCCCCTATTTATTTATGAGAATAGCTCATTATATGCAAGGTATATATATACTTTCAAACTCATACAAGATTGTACTCTGAAATTAAGTTAAAATTCGTCTATTTTTTGAAAAGGAAAAGATTAGAAGAAAGATAATGGGTACACACATAGTAATAAATCTCCTAATTAGATCTATACAACAAAATTACATTATCTATAGCATATATTCGTCCTAACTAATTAATTTTCTTACATTGTTTTGATAAATGCAGTCAAGAAAAGGTGAAACATTAATAAGTATCAACATTAGTTCGACTAAATAATAGGAAGAAAAAAGTGAACCACCACTCGTGATGCTGCATGTTTATACTATAATAATTATAATATACTAGAACCTGCAGATTCATTTGGTGCTTCTATAAATAGTGAGCAAATATGTAACCACATAATGCACCACATTCCTCTTCCAAATTCCAAACACACGTCTTTCTTGACTGAAATGTTCAAAAAACCACCATCCATAATGACATTTCCTTCAACATTAATCGTTATACTTCTACTGTTCACACCCCTTTTTGCTTCTCTAACCCTTTCTTCAAATCCTTCCCCACCATCGGACATTGCATCATTGTGTGCAAGAACTCCACATCCACAAACTTGTGAAGATTCCTTCATCAAGAATGCCAAGTTCGTAAGCTCCGATGATCTCACAAGCCAAAAGCTGGATCTCCTCGGTACTATCTCTAACGCTCTACTCCTTGCAAACGCCATGCAAGCCGCGAGTCATATTCGCACCATCGGCGCAAATTTTAGAAGTTCGCGTGCGGGACGCGCGTGGGACGACTGTGCCGAACTTGCTGATACCGCTGTCCAAGAATTGGTAGACGTTGGTGATCATAGCATCACACGTAGCCACGACGATATGTTAACGCGCCTCAGTGCGTCCAAAACCCAATATGACACGTGTCAGGACGGGTTATCGGAAGCCGGGCAAGGCGACTTACAATTTCCCTCGCCCGTTGTAAACTTATTTAGTTTGATCGATTCAGCTTTAGCTTTATTAAATGGTGGCGGGCTGCTTAACAATCTTGACGCAACTAATTCTCTTACGGAGGATTTCCCGACTTGGGTAAGTCCTGGTGACCGTAAACTTTTGCAAACCGCTACATTACCATCGCTATTAACACCAATACTTCCTGTCATTACAGCAACATCTCCCACAGTAAAACCAGTATCTTCGGCAACTACACCACCATCTCCTTCAACAACAATTCCGTCACTTACACCGGTAAATCCCACAACACCAAAACCGTCAACTCCGTTGACAACACCGGCGTCTCCCATCACAACACCCCAACCATCGACTTCCTTGATACCACTGCCACTTCCTCCATTAACACCAACTCCGTTGACACCACCATCGCCTCCTCCACTAATCACACCTCCACCACCACCACCACCAACACCGGCGACTCCTATCACAACACCCACACCACCAACACCATCAGTTTCACCATCTACTCCGTCAACACCAGCAATACCATCGACTCCCTTGACACCACTGCCACTTCCTCCATTAATCAGATTTCCACCACCAACTCCGTTGACACCACCATCGCCTCCTCCACTAATCACACCTCCACCACCACCACCACCGTCACCACCACCACCAGCAACTCCCTCAACACCGGTACCACCTAACAGCATTGTCGTTGCTCAAGATAGTACAGGACATTTTACAACAATCGGTCAGGCTGTGGCACAAGCTTCGTCAGCAGCAACAAAAAGCAAAGGATCATCAAGAGTAGTGATATACATCAAGACTGGAACTTATGCGGAGAACATAGAAATCGGGAAGAAAGTGAAGAATATTATGTTTGTCGGAGATGGTATCGGAAAAACCATAATTACTGGAAGCAGAAGCTTTGCCGGCACCGGTCACACCACTTTCAAATCAGCTACAGTTGGTAAGTCGATTAAAATTATCCCAAACTAGTGTACTCTTAGACTGCATTTATTTTTTTTCCAACATTTTTTTTCTAAATAATATAAGAATAACTGCTTCATTCCAACATACTTTTCTTTTTTTTTTTTACTCCCATACATCTTTTTATATTTCTCATACAAAAAAAAAAACTAAAAATAGACATAAAAAATGATCCAGATGTACCCTTAGCTTACTACAAGTAGTAATATTCCTAATCATGAATTCTATCTGAAATTATTATTTTTGCAGCCGTTGTTGGAAATGGATTCATAGCTAAGGGGATCACATTCAGAAACACAGCCGGCCCACAAGGTCATCAGGCCGTGGCACTTCGGTCCGGTTCGGATCAATCCGTGTTTTACCAATGTAGTTTTGAAGGCTACCAAGACACACTTTATGCCCACTCAAACCGACAATTTTACCGCGAGTGCGACATTCATGGAACTATCGATTTCATCTTCGGAAACGCCGCTGCGGTGTTTCAAAACTGTAACATTTACGCAAGGCCTTCGACTTGGAAAGTTACCCTAACTGCCCAAGGCCGGACGAATAAAGACATGAACACTGGAATTTCCATCATCAATTCTAGAGTGGTTGCCGATCCTAATCCCCAGCTTTCCCCTGGATCCCTGGACACATATCTCGGGAGGCCCTGGAAACAGTATTCTAGGACAGTGTTTATGAACACGTTTCTTGATAGCTTGATCAACCCGGCTGGCTGGTTAGCTTGGGATCAGGATTTTGCTTTGAGCACATTGTACTACGGAGAATACGCCAATACTGGGCCGGGTTCGGATACCTCTCATAGAGTCAATTGGACCGGATATCATGTGATGACATCTCCGTCAGAAGCGTCGCCGTTCACGGTGGCGAACTTTATTGATGGAAATTCTTGGTTGGGAGGCTCCGGTGTGCCTTACAATGCTGGCCTCTGAGTTTATGGACTTGTTCATTTCAACTGTGCAATGTCGCTCCGTAAAGGATTACTTTTGTTTTTTTGGATTTAGTAGAAGAATTTATAAATTCATTTGGAGAAATGTTATTTCAGGCATTTTGATTACTTTCTTTTTTGCCCCACTTGTTTGGGCACATATTAATTTGTAACACCCCGATTTTTTCCCTGTACATTTTAATCTGAAAATTGTAATTCTTCTCAGTTGTCCCATTTCATCCAACTTTGTATCTATAGTCTATAGTGATTTTTCAGAGGATACAAATTATGCCGATGTTCTTTTCCTTGGGTACGAAAAAAGGTCATAAAATCCATGTCAATGTTCCTTATCTCTATACTTATAAAAGAACTACCTCCAATTATATTTCAATATTTTGATTGGTCCATACACACTCCGATGACATCAACGATTTTAATGATGGTTAAAATAGTCAATAGATAATCAGTGTTTTTAATAAAGGTTAAAATAGTCAATAAATAAACACAATATTTTCAAAACAATTTCAATTAAAATAGTCAATAGATAATTAGCAATTTTAATGAGGGTTAAAATTATCAATAGATAAACACGATATTTCCAAAACAATTTCAAATAAACCACATAAATAAGAAACTTGAACATCACAACGATGCCGTTCTGACCAGCCGACCGAAATTAGAAATTGAACTTTAAAACGACGTCGTTTTGACGAGCCACCCGAAGCGATTTTAATGACGGTTAAAATAGTCAATAAATAAACACAATATTTCTAAAACAATTTCAAATCAGCCACACAAATAAGAAACCTGAACATCAAAGCGACGTCGTTCTGACTGTGAGGCCTGTTTCCGGATCGCTTCTGCTATGGTATGAATGGTGTGATTAGTACCTAGGTTTCGACTAATCAGTAGCTATTAGCTACATATAATTTCAGTTATGAACAAAATATTTAAAAGATACGCAAGATAATCTTTATTCTGTGTATAATAAATTAAAGAAATAGTTAGAGTTTTGATTAAATATGAACCATTCCTAAAGGTTGGTTGATTAATAAAATATAGTAGGTTTAAGGTGTAGGATGGGAGGTGCAAGTCAGCACTTCTACTACCCTATTCGGTTGACAACACAACACATATAATCTCCATTCTTTTGACAACTCACTCTCACGCATTCACACACACTCACACACTCAATTCCATTTGCCTCTCCTCTCTCCTTTCTCACTCTCACGCATCCACACACAATCACACACTCAGGAGGCGTATGTTATATCAACTGTAAACGGATTCAGGAAATGGATTTGAATGATGACGGATTAGATTCAAATGATGGTGGATTCGTGAATCCAACAGTTGTGTTTGTTTAGAATATATATTGATTGGAGTTTGACTTCAAATATAATTAAAAATAAAATAAAAAATATTTTTTCCCCTGCTATCACCTATATCCTCACCCTTTCTCCGCCGGACCACTCCCTCTAATCTGCAAATCCCCACCAGCAATCAACAGCTTTCTTCTCCAACATGCCAGATTTAATTAATCAAACTAAAAAAAAAAGATAATACACCTTCCATGGTTAGATCTGAGTTGCAGACTTCTGTTTGTTGTGTCAATTGGGCAAGGAGGAGTTGTTCCCGATGACAGTAGGTATGGTTAGAGGTCAGCGGCCACAATGGTTATGGCTATGGTTGGCAGCAGCGGTGGTGTTAGCTTTGGTAAAGACTGCGACGGCTGGATATCGGGCTGGCTGACAATTGGAATTAGTGTAGCGGCGGTGGTGGTTATGACTACTGCAGTGATGGGAAAAAATTGACAGTGCTAAAATCGGACGAGGAAGAAGATATTGGGCTTAAAAGCGACGGAGATGGTTATGACTATTGCAGCGACGACATGAAATTGGATGAACGGGGAAGAGGATAGTGCAGGGAAAAGAATATTTTATTAGGAGATATGTAAAAAAAATTGAGAAAATGATTGAAGCATGGATTCAACTTGAATCCCAGGGGGATGGTAGAGATTCAATCTATGGGATTCAACCCATTCCTTGGGATTCGATTCCCGACAACCAAACATGGGAAAAGGTATTGAATCCGTTTCCTGAATCCGATTCCAGGTAAACAAACGGCTCCTCAATTCCATTTTCTTCTTCAAAATCCAAATCCATTCAATCGAATGCAAATTTCTCCGAACAGCCACTTCGAACCACCACAGTATGACCTGTGTTCTTCCTCCTTTAAGCCACACGAGACCATCAACCCTCCTTTCTTCCTCTAAGCTGCACCCATCCCTCAAAATTCCCCACCATCGCTGGACATCAACGTTTCTTCTCCTTCATTGTCTGAAACCACCATCCGGCCAAGACCACGATCACATATCCTTGAAAAATACTCTTTTTGCCATGTTCTATCTACTGTTAATCTGTTAAGAAGGATAAAGAAGAGGAAGAAATTGAGTGTAGGCGAGGGTTGCAGGAAGGCTCAAAGTAAGGAGTAAAAAGAAGGAGAAACTAAAATTTTGTGTGGAACCGGTTCGTGCTTGGAAGAGTTCACAACTCGGGCATTAGGACAGATTATTAGTAGCCAGAGCAGGTACCAATCTTGAGAATTCCTTAGCTAAAGTTATTGATTTAAGTTTATAAAATGATTGGTGCGAAGTAGGCAAATATCACTTGTTTAATTAGCTCTTAAATTCATGAGTTGCATGCCTATAGGTAGGGATGTTAATAATGTTAATTTTAGTCCAAAGATGGTCTATTGATCTACTGGGAGCTGGGAATTAAGGTTGGTTTAGGATTATGGGATGCCGGGAGAAAATTACATGCTAAAAGGACTTTATTGGTCCTTTCCGGAAAATGCAGAAAAACATCAAATCCAAGTCCCTCTGTTTTAGGCTTTTTTTCCTCCTAGCTTTGGAACTCTTTTCTCAGATTTCTTTTCATAAATCCCTTCTCCATTTAGTGTAGTTTGTTTAGGTTTTTACGGATTGTGAAACGGATTTGTCGATGGTCCGAAAACTTGGTTTGAACATGACCGCTGTTTCCTGAAATTCTGTTTTGTACTGCTGTTTTTGGAGAATCGTTTCTCCCTTATCTTGAACTGTTTTATGAAATTTCTTTTTATGAATGTCTTCTATGCTGGTGGAATTTTACTATAGAGTTTACGGATTGTAAATTGGAGCTGCGAATTGCCCAAAAATTGGGTTTGAACATGATCGACTAATTCTAGAATTTTTGAAGAATCTCATTTAAAGAGACAATTTGCAGATCAGTTTTTTTTTTTTTATGGTTCTTAAACTATTTTATGAGGTTTTTTCCACAAACCTCTTCTATGTTGAACAAAGTTTATTTCAGTTTTTACAGACCTTGAAATGGATCCTTGGTTGATTCTGAAAACGTAGTTGAAGAGGACCTATCAATCCTGATTTTATGAAATTTCAGAGTTTTGAGATTTAGCTGCTGTTTGGTGACTTGTTTTCTCTTGTTTTTACACCGCGTTTCCTGATTTCCTGGGATGAAACTTTAGCTCATTTAACCTAGTTTGTACTGGTTTTAACAGCTCGCAAATTGGGTACATGGTTTATTAGAAAACATGGTTTGAATGTGACTCCTCAACCACTCTTTTACTCAGTTTTCAGAACTTCAAAATTTTAGTGATTGACTTGGTGTTTCCAGTTACCCTCTTCTCATAGATTTTCCTTTATCTTTCATCCTTCTTCATCGATGAATAAGTGAGAACTATGAGAGTTAAGAAGACGACAGAACATGCATTAGAGAATAATTATTAAATAAA